GGGAGTGATGTTTTTCCTTAACACAAACTGCGCGCTTCTTCTTCCCCCTCTCTTGCTCTCAAAGCCAGTCTTAAAGGTGCAGAACTTAATATATAACATAAACCAGACGATTGGGGATACCAGTATCATAAAGTCACCCCAGGACATTCCACCCCTTATCCCCATATCGTCAACTTATTATCAAAATTAATATATATATATTTTAACCCAACAACACATACATTATATACAGACAAGGGCATTCATGCATGATCTTCACCCAACCATCAGATTGATGAGGTACACATTGTGTTGTTCCATCTTTCCGCATTATCCACCATGTGCACCCCGGTCCCTGAGCAAAAACAACCCCACTAATGGGTTTGTCTGCACTCGAAGTAGAATTGATCCAAACTGTCTTTCCTAACAAACCTCTGAGATGTACTGCTGGGACTTTGTCTCCGTCTACTATATGCAGGGGCTCGGACTGGGCTGGGCCTGCTCGATTGGTGGAACCTCGGGTATTAACTATCCAGGTGGCCTTTGCTAGATGCTGCTCCCAATTTTTGAAAGATCCCCCACCCAACGCTTTCAAGGTGGTCTTTATCAGTCTATTGTACCTCTCCACTTTCCCCTCAGCAGGTGCATGGTAGGGGATATGGTACACCCACTCAATGCTTGTTCCCTAGCCCAGGTATATAGTCACCCCAGGACACAAACATATGCTATTGACTTCTACATAAAACATTTTCTTTCGTCTTGTCTATCTGCAATAGTGAGACGCAGTCTGAAATGACAGATAGTAACACTGAGCATGGTGTGGGAAAAGAATCAAAAGCTGAGTTGGGGGAGTTTGGTGGAGGATTTGTTGCTTTTTTTATTATTTTTAATTTTTTATCCTTCCAATGGTGAAGAAAGGGAAGGGGTGTCAAATGGCTGGACTTTGGAGTAAAATAAATGCACTATGGCCTTTGTAACCATCTTTTTCTAAACCAAATTCTGACTTACCTTTCAGGTTCCAAAAGCTCTAGTGAGTCTGGTTGATGTGGCAGACATCCTCCCTCTGAGACATTTATTTGTGGACTCTCCAGATCAGTGCCCCACTTATTTGGCAGAGTAAGGCTTGTTTGACTTCCTTTTGTACTAAATGTGTTCTCATTCCATGCTTCTCATAATTTGAACTGATGTTTAAAAGTAGCAGCACAGGCCTATGGACTTCCCATGCAGTACTGACATCACCCTGCCTGATGGCATTTCCTTCTCTTGGCTTTGACATGTTTTCCAGATCTAGAACTGTACATAATGTACATTTCAAAGGCTAGGGTTAAAGTTACTGATACAGGGTTCTTCAAGATGGGGTTGAAGTGCACAAACATTTAGATTTGCAGGCCTTTAATTTGCAGGAACATGATGTATTTGAGGAGTAGACGGGTTTCCCCTGTTTCTGAGGCTTTAGTGCAATGGGTAATTTGCATTCTTTGCTGACCTTTGAGAGACAAACTCTCTGTCTTGGAAATGCAAAAGGAATTGTTGATTGGAAATGTATCAGCTCAGAAGTAAAACAGGAAGTACATTTCAAAGACCTGTTTTCTAGTTCCTCAGGGGCTCTGTTGTGCACCTCTGTCTGTCTGCAGGGTCTTTGGATGCCAGGGTGTAATTAATGAAACAAACTACCCTCTGTGCAGTGTGCAGTACTTCAATACATCTGGGTGTGAAACCAAAGTTACTTCAAGTAGTATCATTCATGTGAGGCAGAAAATAAGACTAAGGTTTGAAATTACAATAGCAAGGATGATAAGATGCTTTCACAAAGACATGATTGTACAGATTCCCTTATTACATTCATGTAGTGAGGGCATTGGATGACAAAGGGTGGCATCTGTATTGTCACATGTTTAACTCTCTCTATTCTTGTTTTCTCCTCTAACCTCCCCCACAGTTATCTGTGTAGCTGTGTTCTCACAGGAGAAGAAAACTCAGAAAATTTAACAATGGTGAGGGGCGCCATCAAAGCTTACCAGGTATAACTATTAAGAGTGGTACAGTTACTGTATTTCCAGTAGAGGTGAGCTCTTGATTACCAAGCAACATATCATATCCATATTTTACCCAAACTATGAACCCAGCAGGAGCTCATTTGATGCTATCCAAACATATCATGTGACCAAAACTAGCAGAAGAGGTCTTCAAAAAAATTGTTTCCTAGTAGAGGTTAATCAGTGGGAGTTTAGTCAACAAAACCCTTACAAACAGTTTCAGTATTGTGTTCCAGCCTTCTCAGCCCCTTTGAAGAATCTCAGCCCTCATTTGCCAGTGTCTGTGGCTATTTAAGTTCAAAAGTAAAACCTCCTTTTGATTCCAGGGCTTTCAGAAAACCCAAACAAAGAATGTAGTTATGATGCAGAGATGTTGAAGTATGGCTGTTTGGTTTTTTTCTTGCAGCTTGGCATTCAGAGACTGATAGAGTCTGGCAGATATGACAATCATGAAAATTTCACAGTGGTCATCCAGCCTTTCCTCCAAAATTTGGAGACTCCTCTTGATCAGGTATGATATAAAGGTGATTTCTTCATTTAAAGGACTAATGATGTGTATCTTACCTATAGAGGCTATATTCAAAATAGTTTCACTTTGTTCAGTGCTTTTCTTATGAGAAGATGCTGCTTTTTGATACAGTACAACGTATTTCTTCATGTAGTGAGCAGTTCTTAGTTTTGCGTATTGTTCTGTCAATATCAATTGCTGTTTTGGAAAATGAGTCAAAACCTGATTTAAGAAGTTTGTTTGTGTATGATTTTTAAAGTACATAAATGTTTTTCTTCCTGAAAATACAACATGATTAATAAAAGACCAAGTTATTAAGTTAAGTTACACTCCTTAAAGCAACATAACTTCATTGCTCAGTGGAGAGTATGACATTAGCTCCTCTTTATGCCACATAACTCATTTTTCTGTGTCTGACAGACTAGGAAGTTTACCTATGATCTCATGGAAGTAGTTTTATGTCATTTATATGTATATGTTTATGTATATTTTAGATCCTTGAATGGCAAGTTCCAGTAAGCTGTATGTCTAGGAAAAGACTCAAACTTCCCTAAAGCTGAAACTATTTTCATATGTACCTGGAGCTAAGAGGAGCAAAATATTCAGCAGGGATTGCTCTGACATAATTGGACTGGACTGATTCTGAAAACGTTCACAATAGCTGGTGAAAGTTTGAAAAGTCAAGATGTTGCAACAGACAAATTTGGAAAACTGGCTGAAAGCTTCAAAGGCTTTTTGTTTTGTTTGTGTGTGAAACTGGTGCCCATGAAAAGTCATCCCTAGGGGTTTTGGTACTGAGGGTAGGGAACACAGAAAATAAAACAGAAGAAGCAAAATATTTCTGAACTTTTCTTTTTGTAATGTCACAAGCATTAGTTCAGATTTTAAGAAGTTCAGGATGCACTTTTAATTTTTTATCTCACACAAAATTCAGATGTTCCTGAATTGAAAGTTCTGTCTCTAAACACGGCAAAAGATATGATGCAGGTTTTGGTAGTAGTCCTCTAAAAAGCAAGCCCAAGCACACTGAAAAAAAGCCTGCTCAAGTTTTGAGGAAGAATTGCTCTAACAAAAAAAAGTTGTTTCAGTCATGTGTGACCCTAATCTCCGAATTCATGTGACACACAAGTTACTTAAATTTCCAAACTCCATTTCCTCCAGATCCTCCAGTGCCTGTACTAACCGTGTATTACAGTACAGCTTTGTTCAGAAAAAGGATTGCTTTGGTGTGCACGGTCAGTTGGGCTGCCTTCCATCAAACACTTACTTGCTTCTTGATCCTTTCAAAACTCACAGCAGTAGGTACTGTAGAGTATAATGTTGCCTGTGGTTCTAGTTCTAATGACAACTGGAACCAGGGAGAGGAACTCATCCTTATAGCAGAACCTGAAGAGGAACCTGAACAGGAACTGTACCCATAATTGAAAATGGTGGTTTTGCTGCTTCTGGATGGATCTCCCCATGGAGGCACATAATCATCTCTAGCTAAGTGTTTCTGGTAGTTCATAGGTCTGCTTAAGTACAGTTTGTATTGCCAGATAATCAGGAAACTTTCTGCAATGGAGCAGGGAGAACAAGTAACATGAATCTCTCTTTACTGGTTCTGATGTGGCCTTAGCAACTCCAGATTGGAAGTGTGGGGATTTTTCTACACTCAGATGTAATTTATGTTTTTATTTGTAGGATGGGAATCTAGATGTCTCCTACTTTGCACCTGACTGCTTCCATCCAAGCCAAAAAGGCCATTCTCAGCTTGCCAGGGCTCTGTGGAATGCTGTGGTAAGGTGACAGGCTCTGCATATAATGAGAACTTCACCTAGACCTGACTACCATTAAAATATCTCTGTAATAAGCATTTCAATTAAGGCCTGAATAACACTGGACTGTGTGTTCGTCTCTCCTTAACTAGTTAAATACCTTCTGGCTTTGGCGCTGCCCTCTGACTAGAATCTCTTGGTTCTTAAAGTGTGTGGTGAGGGGAGGTGTGCTGCATGGGCACGATCAGTCATTTTGTGACTTAAATTGAGCAACTTAAAGTTTTCTTCATCCATTTTTATGCAAGGCAGGATAGTATTTAATAAGGATGATGTTTCTATGGATTGCTATGGGAAACCATCAAATAAAGAATTCTTTTAAATTTGTCAATTCAAAATGGATTAGTTAGAAGTTTGTTTTAAATCCATGTGTTGTTAATGTCTCATTAGGAATTAAAGTTGCTTTAATTCAGTTTAGTTTTACTACTTTTGGAAATTAGTTAAGCTAAATAAAGATGGGTCACTAAAGATTGCTTAAGCAAACCCATTTTACTTAGTGTTGCAATGCAGTAGTACCCAGCAGTCAGAGGCAGTATCTTGGATCCTGGATAGTAACTTCCATATACTTTGGGATAATATTTTAAAAGCTGACATGATTGCTTGCAATCAAGCAGTACCTCTAATTACATTTGGTATTATCTTCTACACATAAACAACCTTTTGTTCGAGATGCCATCATGCAGCTTAGCTATAAAAAATGGAGGGACTCAATGTCTTTTATGCAAGAGAAGAAAGTTTATGACCTTGCCTTCTGGCAAAATTCCAAGGTACTTCATGTGCCTGCCAAAATCCTCCAGGAGTTTAAACTGATCCACTGTAGCTTTCCACTTCCTATTTTAAGCTTCTTTCTAAAGCTGTTCTTTTGTTTTGCGGTTGCCATTTTCTTTCTGAGAAGTATATGCATTTCAGCCTTGGATATAAATCTATGTCTGTAAATACAGGCACCTTTGTATAGATTTGAAAGGTATATTTATGTCAGAGTTTCTTTAATTAGAATTGAATTAGAATGTGAAATTCAAGATGAGCTGACATGGTTAAAAAAATAGGTTCTTTTGTCTTTGTTTCTAGTTACAGCCTGTAGGCCAGAAAGCAGACTCATTTGATTTCTCAGCTGACATCGTCCTTGGCTGTCCAGCTCAGGTAAATATATCCACATTTTGGAAGTTCTCTGTCAGGAGGCTGTACTGCTTGTGCTTGCTGCAGAGAGCAGGGATTTGGTATATCTGGAATAAGTACTTAAAGCTTTATTCTCTGTTTACCTCTGAGTGAGCAGGTGTTCTCATCTACCTGCACTGGTGTCCCATAGCCATTTTGCTATGTTGTGAATACTGATTGACAACATGCTGATTTGTGTGTTTGCAGTTGCAGCAGAGGTTGTTTTTTGTTGTTTGTGAAGTACAGAAGCAGCTCAAGCAGCAAACAACAGAATATGCTGCATTAACTTTCCCATCAGAATCAGTGAGGTTTGGGAACCACAGCAGCTTTGAAAACCCAGAATCTTTCGTCTCTTGCATTAGTGGCAGGTTGGTTTACCTGGCCTGATCCATAATAGGAATACTTCAGACTCTTTGGAAGCTGCTTCTGCAGTTACAAAACAAGCTGCTGAACTTGCAGAACAGTGGCTAGGTACCAGCAAGTGGAAATGACTGATGCAGGCAGCAGCAATTGGGAACAATTGGCTCCCTTTCTTCAGCAGTTATTCGCAGAGGGGACAGTGTTTGCGGGGCCTAGGTATGGCTTTATGTTTTTCCCTTGGAGCCATTTAGGGCTGGACGGAGTTGACACACAAGCATACCCCCTTACCCAGGTAGTCAATTGGAAAGGACCAGATATTTGTCAGGTTTTGGGATCTTTGATCAGCACCAGCAGCTTCTCATTGAGCTTAGCTCAGGATGAATTTGAGAAGTGCTGGAAGATGGGCGGAGTCGGCTCTGAAAGAGGACAATTTAGAAAGTTAAATAGAGCCTTACAGAGCTTCTCAATGGGAGACATGACCTCTGTCTCTCCCCACTGCTGATCAAGGACCCACTTGACGGTACCATGGGTCCTTTCTACAATTGATTGTCCCATGGGATTGAAGGGTATACCTGTGGTGTGCTTCACATCCCACTGGTTGAGAAAGTCTTTTAGTTTGTGGGAGGTGTAAGCAGGGCTTGTTGTTGTTGTCTGTTTTTATTTGTTCGAGGACTCCTATGGTGGCAAACACAAAGAGAATATGCCAGATGGTGTAATTGGCATTTTCTCCTGAGTGGGCTGAAGCAAACACTGCACCTGAGAGTGCAGTGTTTGCACTCTGACACAGGGATATATTTCAACATCCCAAAAGATGGGAAGTGTGTCACATCAGTTTGCCAAAGTTGGCAGCTGTTTAGGCCCTGGGGGTTGACCCCAGAACCTAGAGATGGTACTGGTAGTTTGGACAGTTGGGGAAAGTGGTGACAATTGACCACGCTTGCTCTTTGGACAATTGGAACATTCTTATTAATGCTGGTACATTCTGGTGGTAAAATTCATGGGGTATCTTTGCTTGGGCAAAGATATCTGGTAGGTTGGTAGTTTCACAAAACATGGCTAGGGTGTCCATTCTCCTGTTCCTCTCCGTGATGGCACCTGGGAGGTCGGTGTGAGACCTGACATGCATAATATGAAATGGTTGCTTTCTGTGGGAGATAAGGTAGATTAGTTTAGAAAGTAAGTGGTATAAATTTGGATTGGAGACCTCTGTTAGAAAAGAATGTTCTGCTCTCATAGCTACTCCAGTGACATAGGACAAATCTGTCATCAAATTGAAAGGTTCTTGGAAATTTTCAAAAGCTCTGACAATGGCTGCTAACTCAGCAATTTGTGGGGATTCTACCACCACGTGGACATCAGACTCCCACTTCTGTGTCCTGGGATCCCTCCAAGTCATCACTGACTTGTGGGATGCCCCTGAACCATCGGTAAAAATTGTCAGTGTCTTGAGAGGTTTTCTACTTTGCATTAATTTGGGGACCAGATTGAAAGCTGAATTAAACAATTTATGGCTTGGCAAATGGATTGAAATTTCGCCTGGGTAGCTATCAAAAGTGAACTGGAGGCTCCCATTGGTCTGGAGCAAGTGCTCCAGATTCCCAGTAGTTGATGGTAGAAAGACGCATGTGAACTCACTACCCGCAGGAGAGCAGAGGTGAGCCCTAGCCCTTTTAATTAAGTCGCCTATCAGCTCTTGACCAATAGTGATTGTCTTTGTAGGTTGATTGTGGGAAAAGATCCATTCTAAAATGATTAGGAGATCTTTCATCTGGGTGTCCCACTGAAAAATAAAAGCATGAAACCGTGGGGCTTTACCTAGGACTGCCATCTGGAAGGGCAGGCTTGGCTTGAAGTGATGTGCTTGCTGCTAGGATAGGGCCTCCTAAATCTTGGAGATGGACACTCAGGTCTTGGGCATGAGGGCCCACTGCTGCGAAGAAGGTTGAACAATGGCATGAGGACCTCCATCGTTATCCCCAGCACACGCATAGGGGACACACACAGTTGATGGACCTGCAGAGTTGGTGGAGATACCACAGGGTCTTCGGGTCATCCCGGTTGGAGAGCTGCTGGGGTATGACAGTCTGCTCACAGATCTGAAGTCCGATGTAGGTCTGGGGGCAGGTGTACTGGATCTTGTCTTGCGAATCTAGAAGCCTGCCTCTTTGATGTTTTGGATGGTCTTCCTTAGTGTGGCATCTAGGTAAGCCTTTTGCGGTGCACATACAAAGATGTTATCCATATAATGGTATATAAGTGCCTCAGGGAAAAGTCTCCTCACCAGGAATAGGATGTAGGTGACATACTACTGGTATATAGATGGAGAGCTTTTCATTCCTTGTGGAAGGACCAGCCAGTGGTATCTTTTAAGAGGGGCCTGTCTGTTTGGAGAAGGGACAGAGAAGGCAAACCTGGGGGCATCTTGGGGATGGACTGGAATGTTGAAGAAGTAGTCCTTGATGTCAATCACTGCTATCTTCTGGGGCAGCATTGTGGGTGAGGGCAAGCCAGGTTGCAGAGACCCCATGTCCTCAATGGCCTCGTTGACCTTGTGGAGGTCATGGAGGAGCCTCCACCTATCCTTGCTGGGATTTTTCAGGACAAAGATAGGGGAATTTCAAGAGCTGTTGGTCTCAATGATGTGGCCCTTGGCAAGTTGCTCCTCCATGAGGGCTTCCAAAGAGCACAATTTTTTTATCGGAAAGGGGCCACTGGTCAACCCACACTGGATGGTCTTGTTTCCAGGTGAGTTGAGGAGCAGTAGGGTTTGTGTGCTTTACAGTAGCTCTTACTAAAAATTCCTACAGGGAATGTGCATGGAAGTCCCCCATTGGGACAACAGGTCTCTGCCCCACAAGGTGATAGGGGCCCTCACCACAAATGGCTGGATGGTTGCAGTTTTGCCCTCGGGACTTTCAACAACAACATTGTGCATGCTATGCATAGAAACTGCAACATCCCCAATGCCTGAGATCATACCAGCCACAGGCTGCAATTCCCAGGTGAATGGCCATGATAGTGACATCTGCCCCAGGGTCTATCATCCCTAGACGGGAGAATTTTTCCCCATGACAGAACAGGCCACACTCTAAGATGGGTTTATTGTTGCCCACAATCTGTGTCCACATCATGGTGGGATTGAGAGGGACTCATTTTGGGTATTCAGGAGGCAGTAAAAATGCTTGAGCAGTAGGCTGACCCTGGGGAAGTTGGTATGGTGGATCAACACAGGAGATAGTGGCAAAAATCTTGTCCCCTGGAGTCACAGTCACAATTTCTGGTAAAATGTTTATTTGTCCTGGCTCATTGATGGAGTCCCCACCAACTAAAATGTCTTGAGGGCTATCGTGTGGCGCAAGTTTCCCTGTTGGAATTTTATAAATATCTTCATCGAGAAAGTCAATGGACAATGTGCTCGCCAGCTGGTGCCAGGTTCCCACCTGAACCTTTGAGCATGTGGGATCTGTTTCATATGTGGAGGAACCTCTGGAACTGATGTTTGCTTCTCCTGGTGTTCCAGAACGGTGGACAGAGCCGGCCAGGACAGCATTCCATTTGTTGTTGTAGCGCAGGGCTGTCCCATGCTCTGCTGGAAGTTTCCTGAGTGCTGCTGGTAAGGCGATTGTCCCTTGGACCACTGATAGTTCTTACAATTGTCCTATGGGGCCATCCATTCTGGGCAGTCTTTTAAAAAATGTCCTAATTCACTGCAGCAGAAACGTGTGCCTTTGTCTTTTTGGGAAACTGCAGTGAAGGCTCCTGCCACCCTGTTGACAATGCCTTTGGTAACTGCCTGTGCCACAGTATTTTTGGTGGAGGAATGCTTGGTGCAGGTCTTCACCATTTGTTTCATTTGTTCCTTGACAAGGGGTAGAGCCCTTAGGATTGTTATGCATTGCGTGTTAGCATTTGCGAGAGCAATTTTGTTCAGAACCTCTTTTCAACTTTCAGGACTTTCTAATTGTTCTTCCAGGGCCACTTGTAATAGGTCTACAAATTTTGTAAATGTTTCATCAACCCCTTGCTTGATGTTAATGAAGTGCTGTGTTGGTATGGTATCATCGGGGATGAGGGGCAAAGATGTTTTGGCTGTGGTGGCTGTGTCCTGCAATGCAGCTTCTGGTATAACATTCACTTGATCAGTTGGTTTTTGAAAGTCACCTTCTGCTAACTGCTCAATAGACAAACTGGGTCTATTGGCAACTTTTGAATAAGTGTCTGATAAGTACTTTAAGTGTTTTTTCCACTGCCTTTCTCACAGAATATATTTGGCTGGGGAAAGGAGACAGTTCATAGTATTTTTGATGTTGTGAGGGACCAATGTGTGTGAGGAGGAGGTGGCTTTGATCAAGTTTTTGAAAAAGTGGGATCCCTGGCCATGTTCATTTGCCACCTTAACTCGTTCTTTAATTTCCCCATAGGGCATGCGCTCACAGGAATTGTTGGCTGTTGGCCTTCTCCTCCATTTGTAAACAACTGGGAAAGCAGAGATCTTATTTGCCAGTTCCCACTCTTCCTCCTGGGTGGTCTCCCTTTGAGTCTTGGCCCAGCAGTCCTCAGACTGGGTGTTTGAGTCTGAGGACTCTGTGGTCTCATCCTTTCAAAGAGGATGGAGGGTGCTTTACTGGAGCACAGGGTCCTTTTGGATAGACCAGATCTGCCTGATGGCTTGAGGCATTGGAAGTGAAGATGGCTTCCTTCTGGTTTTTGCCATTGCCACTTCCGGTTCCAGTGTTATGAGAACCAGAAGGGGGTTGTGTTGCCGCTGAAGATGAATAGATCACACAGACACAGCTTGAGATGTGGTGAAAGGAAGAGAAAGTTTATTTCTTCTCCCAGGATTTATAGGTTTCTGACCACAGCCAGGGATTGGATGGTCAGGATAACACTTTGCCAACCACACTGGCCATAAGAGATGTCCATCACAAGACGTGTCACAGAAGGAATGTATACATATCTCTATGTTTACAGTTACTGTCCTGGGAAAGTCTTAGAAAACTATGTCAGCAAGCTCAGAAGCTGAGTTTTCAGGGCAACTCTCACCCTTTTTGGTTTTAACAAAAAGAAAAAGAAAAATTAACAAAGAAACTAGCAACATTACAAACAATCGAAAGGAAAAATAATAAGAAAATACAATACTCCATACAATCAGAAGCCTGTAATTTCAGGGTGATATCTCACCCTTTCGTTATTACAAAAAAACCCAACAAAATAAAAGTGAAAACATCAACACCTGCTTGTAGATGACTCCCAATTTGGTCAAGGAGGCAGAATCCATGGCCAAATTGAAAGGTGCCTGGGAAAACTTCTGAAATGCTATGACAGCAGCCCATTATTCTACCAATTGGGCTGATCCAGCCTCATGACTCTCTAAAATCAGCCACTCAGATTCATCCCCCCAGGTAGCAATGGCCTTTCCAGTCTTCCCCGAACTGTCAGTAATGACAAGTGAGTCCTTGCACAGGCCCTGACTATGTTTGGGCCACAAAAAAAGGTCAGTGAAGTTTGCCACTTTCTGTGGCTGACGGGGCAGGAAAAACCCCTTCCAAGACATTCAAGGGATTGGACCATTCATCATTTCATTGGCCAACAATACCTGTGGAATGCAAATCTGGAGTGGTAATGAAAAAACAGTGACATCAATGGAAAGATTAATGTTATAAACTTGACGAGCAGAAACTGCTCGCAGAACCTCCTACAGCACCTACTGTGCTTCTGGGGTCAGTGTCAGAGGTGACTTTAAATCACAGTCCCCCTTTAACAGACCAAACAAGGGAGACAGTTGTGTCATGGTCAGGCCCATATAGGGACACAACCATGTAAAAATCCATCAATATCTGGACATCATTCATGCAGTGTCTGCACTGAACGCAAAAAATTGCACCTCCTGATGCGGGACTGTTCGTCCCAAAAATTATTTTGACCCTCAAATAATTTCAGGGAGGTTGTAGAGACGAGCAGCAGGAAACTGCTTGCAAACTCCAGAGAGGGCCAGAGCCCCATATCATTGGCAAATACCGGCAAATTTTTGCATACCTTATGGCAAAATCTCCATTGATATCTCTGTGTGGGCTCAGCATTAATGATAGCTGGCACCAGAAAGGCAAATTTCGGTCTGTCATCGGGATGCAAAGGAATTGTAAAAAACAATCCTTCAGATCCACAATGAGGACTGGCCAATCAGCAGGAAGCATGGCAGGTGAAGGCATGCTAGCCTGCAACATCCCCATGCTTTCCATCATAGCATGAACTTTCCGGAGGTACTGTAGCAACCTCCATTTCCCAGACTTCTTCTTGATACAGAAAACAGGAATGTCTCAGGGACTGGTTGAAGGCTCCAGATCACCGTGATCCAACTGTTCCTGCATCAAGTCACTGAGGGTGACTAGTCTATCATGAGAGAGGACAACAGAATCTGAACTTTTTTTACCTTTTTTTTTTTTTTTTTTTTTTTTTTTTTTTTTTTTTTTTTTTTTTTTTTTTTTTTTTTTTTTTTTTTTTTTTTTTTTTTTTTTTTTTTTTTTTTTTTTTTTTTTTTTGTTGTTGTTGTTGTTGTTGTTGTTGTGGTCTCCCAGGATTTATAGGTTTCTGACCACGGCCAGGGATTGGATGGTCAGGATAACACTTTCCCACTGCACTGGCCGTGAGAGATGTCCATCACAAGACATGTAACAGAAGGAATGTATACATATCTCTATGTTTACAGTTACTGTCCTGGGAAAGTCTTAGGAAATTATGTCAGCAAGCTCAGAAGCTGAGTTTTCAGGGTGACAGGGTTGGACAGCAGGGGAGAAGCCAACAGCAGAAAGGGTGGAGTTTATGGAAGGGGTGGGGTCTGCAAGGGGAAAGGAGTTCCCAACAATAGGGGGAGGTCCTGACGCACTTACACCCACTGACGACACAGGAGGAAAGGAGGAGCAGGATGCAATAGGAAGTGTGGAGAAAGGCAGTGAAGAGGCAGGGAGGTGGCTGTTTTGAGGGTTCAAGGAGGGAAAACATGAACACAGGGGTGACAAAATGGCGGGGCTGGCCACGTTGCCAGCACCATTTTGTGGGTCAGTAACAAGACGTGGGACTGGGTAGAGTGGCATAGGACAGAGGGCAAGGGGAAAGTCCAGGGCAGCATGGTCAGTGCTGTCCTGGCAGGGGGAGAGAGGGGATCAGGAGGCATCAGGGCATTGGCAGCCACCCTGTGCAACACTGCGATGACTGCCTGCTGATCACCCCTCAGCTGGTGAGGTTTTAGGAATACAGGGAGAGGGTAAAAGGGAAGGGGCTTTTACTGAGGACCTGAAACCTCTCCTGAACTTCCCCCAAGTTTTTCAATTGACTTAGCTATAGTATGAAATAAAGGAAAAACTTTGCCATCCATAAATCACCACCCGGTTGAATGTTATATAATTTTATCCCAACATTGTCCCAAAACTCTCCCAAGAAAACAGAATCCCATGCAACATTAGGGAGATATTTAGAGACCCAATGAAAAAATCTCTTTAATTGCCCCTTAGAAAACTTAAATTCTCCTGCAGCAAGGATTTCCACAACTTGGTAATAAAAGTCCATCTGAGAAGGGCTGAGATTAGGACGGCTCAGTTTGTTGCCCATCCTCTGTTCTTTGCTCCCATACCCAACAGCAAAAGGAAAACAGAAAGGAAAAGACCTCAATATAACAACTTAAAATTTTTCTTCAGGCAGCACAAAGCCCACTGGGTCAACAGAACGCTGTTGGGTGTATGGTCAACCAGCCATCAACCAGCCTCCAGAATCTTTGACCTTGCTGTTGTTGGAGGTTTTCACTCGCCCCTCGGAGAGCCTTCATTTGAACATTAAGGGTTCTCCTTGGGGAGCTGGCTAACCTGAAAGTGGTTTGTGTGTTGCAGCTGAAAGCTGCAGGAGATGCTTCTCCAGGGATCCCCTAGTAGAGGTCCCTGTTCGGGTACCAGCTGTCGCAGTCTGGTCAGTGGTCTGGGTGCCACGACTTTCCCAGAGAAGTGTGCTTGGAAGGACTCTCTTGGGCACACAGGCACTCCCTGCCCTGCCAAGAGTGATCTCATCTCTGAGCACTGAAAAGGGCTGTTGAGTGATTGCAGCTCTTCGGGTGACATCCAGGTGACACAGAAGGAGGGACTGGAGCCTTGTGAAGTTTTCCACAAGGAGCTTTTATTCTAGATCCAGGGACATGGAAAACTCCAGCTACTGCGAAGGGGTCAGGGACAAAAACTACAGATAGTCAAAGGGAAGGAGGGGTTTATATAGGAGCATCAGGAGTAGTCAACTGAGAGTTCAGGGGCAGAGTAAAGGGAAGGGACTAATGGGGTACACAGAATTTGCACGGAGTATATAAACTTTGGGCTCTAAGGCATGCTGGGGGTGACTCCTTTTGTTGCTCCATTAAAGAAGGAACTTGTTTAGGAGCTTTCCCTCCAAGGGAGAGTTGTGGATTCTTTCTTAATTGGCCCACTGGCCTCCACAATAGCCTGCCTTCTAATTTTAGTGCTTTTTAAGACTTCTATATTCAGATGCCAGAGTTTCTCTTGATTGAGGTAAGTGAGCCTCCAGGTGAATTTTTTTTGTCTATATGATGTGCATGTCTTCCTGAATGCATGCTGCATTAGTAGGGGACAAAAATAATGATAGAATTTCTACAGCCTCCCTTGGAGGGAAGAATGATCTTTTCAATAAGCAGTCTTTCATCCCCCTGCTGCTGACATAAGATCTGCCCGGTTTTGTCTAGATTCTGCATCAGTGCCTTTTGAAAGGACTAAACATCTAATAAAGTCTAATTTGAAATGTTAGGAGAGGAAAATATTAAACTGTAATCAGCATCTGGAATATGTAATTTTTGTCCTATGGTACTAAACACAAATTTTATGAATTTTAAGGAAGGATCATAGTTTCAAAGTCCATATTCCAATTTTATATTTTAGGCAATTACTTTCTTAGTATGATACCTTGGTGTCACTTGTTATGGTTTGTGCCATGTGCCTATTGCCTTGTTTCTCTTATTTCTCTTATTTTAAGATAACGATTAAGAAAGAGCATTTTGTTTCCTCTTTCTCCAGAACAGTCCCTTCCTGGGAACGTACAGGAATAGTAACTACACACCTGTGGGGCCCACTAGAGAGCCAATAGAGGTAATTGTTGCACCTTTTGCTGCATTTTAGGTCAACTACGTGAAGCTGCATCTCGTCTCATAGCACATCATCCTGAATTTATAGATTACGTAAACTAATACAGGTTTTTGGAAAGGAATTCTGCCTTGCATTGCACTTTTCATTGTGAAAAAAAATGTTTTCCTAAATGCCAAACAAAATTAATTATATTACTGGTGCAATTGTATTAAAACTGTAGCCAAAGTAAGAAAACTAGAATGCATAATTAATTCAGATAGCAAGTTCCTCACAGTATTGAGAAGCTATCTTAGAATCCTGACCCCCAAATAATCTGAGGAAGGTTTAGGTATTCTGCTCTGGAGGCACTGTTCTTCTTACATTCAAGTAAGCTTAACCTGTAGAAAGCAGTCACCTTTACATATTGGATTTGTGACTCTATATAAAGGTGATAAGAGTCCCATTTCAAAGGGACTTAATTTCCACCATGACTGAGCAACTATCATGATGCATGTTAAATAAACTGCAGAAACAGATATTGTGTGTAGAACTTGAAGAAATGGAGTGGTTATTTGCTTGGCAGTCAAAACAGACTGGCATGGGGGTGCTCATGACTAACCCAATTATCAAAATCTTTGTGTGCCAAAGAACAGCAATTTTTGTCTTAGCAAGTCATAGTTTGCAGTACTTAAAGGGTATTTTTATCTGTAGAGCTAGAGTTATACTTTTAATATGTAATTCTTGGACTTCCACTGAATCACAACAGCTTTTGAAATGATAAAGGAAAGTAGAGAGAGTAAAGCAACACTTTCTGATCTAAAAATAAGCCTATCTGTCCTTTCTAGCCTCTGCAACCAGACTTCAGTGGTTGATAGTGGAGTCTATCACAACATTTTTTTACAAGAACAGATGAATTTGTTGTGTTGTTTTTAACAGCAACCATGCTTCCTGAAGACCACTGGTCCATGTAGTTTTACTCTGGTAGAATTGTGCAGTCACAGAATAATTGAGGTTGGAAGGGACCTCTAAGACATCCCTAGCCTGACCTCCTGCTTCTAGCAGGGCTGGCCCTTCAATCAGCTAACACAGTTGTCATTGCTCTTGCAAGGGCTGGCCACTGTAAAAATTTTAGATTTTCCCTTGCTGCCTTCTTGGCTAATATGATTGCTTGTTACCAAAAAGCAGGGGGAGACATTCATCAGCTCTCTCTGCTGGTGAACTAAGGTGTTCTGCAATATGTATTTGATTCAATATCTTCAATAGGGGGAATATACATAATAACTATTATGTCATCTAAAAATGCATGGTAAAGTACACATATTTAGAGCCCGACAGCTTTCTTTCCTGGTACCTTTAAAGCTTTGAAATTTTTTCAAATTTTATATTCAGTAAAAGCAAGCCATTTTTGAAAGTTTCTTGGGAAAGAATAGGTTCCTGGCAAGGTACATGGGGAATGATAATATAATAATAGAATATGTAAAGTTGTTCCAATGCTTGGTCACCTTTTCAGTGAAGAAATTTTTTTCTAATATCCAATCTGAACCTTCCCTGGTGCAACTTGAGTCCATTCCCCCTTGTTCCTTCACCAGTTACCTGGGAGAAGAAACAGACTCCTGCCTTGTCACATCTCCTTTCATGCAGTGGTAGAGTGATAAGGTCGCCCCTGAGCCACCTTTTCTCCAGACTAAACAATCCCCAGCTCCTTCAGTGGCTTCTCATAGGACTTGCGTTCAAACCCTTCACCAGTTAATATAATAATACATTAATAATATAATACATTAATATAACATTACTTTGCAGGGGATTTTATTGTTGATTTTTATTTGCTTTTACATCTGATATCTTTTGAGACAGAGTAAGACTTCATACCTGGAGACCCCACCTTGTAGGTCATGGACAAAATTTCTAGGCAGTGGAGAGAGAAAAAATAATTATCCTTATGGAACTTTGTAATAAGCAGTATTTCAAGATGAAATGTTTTGCCTTTGGAAAAGTTTTATGCTTTAGCTAGAAAATGTCACCAGAAGTAATTATTGTTTGGATAGTATTCCACAAAGAGGTGTAAAAGAATGTTGAACTACACAGGCACCAAACTAGAATCTATGTTTTAACTTGGTTTTGCACTTCACAGTACAACTAAACCATTTATGAATTATCTTTTAGCTACAAGATGAAACAATTTTGTAACTTCTCATTTCAGAATTGGGGCAGTGAACTGTCATGTCCTGGTCATACTCCATCTAGTCGTGTCCCAACATCAGGTGAGAAAGAACTCCTAACCTAAAATCACACACGGGAAATATTTCATCTTTTGTTTCTAAAAACAATAAGATGTTGAAATTGCACAACCTAGATGGAAAGTAAACAATAAAACCTGATATATTTAGCAGCAGGGGAAAAAGTCTGTCTTGCCATTCACAGTAAGTTCTGCATGACAGCAAGTATATCTCTGTGGATAAATGGGATCACATTTATTGTATGAATATATGATATACATCATTCATCATACAGCAACATGGCAGATTAAAACTGCCCAGGAGGGTTAGTGACTAAACAGTGCATTGTAAGTGTTGTGTGTAGTTTGAAGATTTTACAGGGAGATTTTTAACAGGAAATACTGATCTATGACCCAAACCTGTAAGACAATTAAAAGAAATTGAATATATACATCTGTAAATATATCTAGTCTGCTTTCATTTTTTTACCTAAGGTGTTTTAAGTTCCATTTCTTTGCGTGCTAGTGTATTACACTGTGGCAAGCAAAGGCAAGAAGTTAAACATTTCGCCTAGATGATGCACAGAACATGAGGGTTTTTCTACCTTAAAAGTCTGCAAAAATGCCATCAGATTAGTAACTAAGGCTTGCATATTTATTCTATTAAACAGTATTTTGTCAGTAATCCTGCTTTTATTCTCCTACTGCTTTTTAGTACATGAGCTACGGCCTGCTGACATCAGAGCCATAGGAGCACTTGGAGATTCCCTGACTGTGAGTACTGCTGTATTCCCACATTTAGAATGAGAAAAGCAGTTGTTGATTTCTACCCAGATGTTGTCATATCAGGCATCATCAGATAGAAAGCAAATTGCTTTGGCTTGGCAAAGCAAAACTCATCTACCTGGTTCCCTTTGCAAAGAAATAGCCTGAAGGAATATGAGTTACATTGGCAATTGTGTCATCCAGTAATGAATAGTTCAGGCCAGGACAGAAATGGGATCCCATTCTCTATTGCATACAGTTTATTCAAGAGTTTTCGAAATGGGAATTGGCTGTTTTATAGGAATAGTCTTTTCTGACATGGAAAAAAAAGAAGCAAAAGCAGTTGATATTTTTGATGCAAGAGACATTTTTCTGAAAACTCCCAGGGAAATAATTGATGGCAAAATGAAGTGCTTCCCACTTGAGATAATTCTGATACTTCTATATTTCGGAGTTTTGCTTTCAGATTTTGTTTCCTGGGTTAGGTATCTTCCAGTTAAAGCTCTGATGTATTTCAAGTACTAAGAAATGGAAGTTTAAAACAAAAAGTAGGCACAAAAAGGAAAAAAAAAAAAAAAACCCAGAGAAGAATAGCAGGGAACACTGCAGATCTACACTGAAGTTTTCTGAGAAAAAGTTCTAGAATTACACAGCCCTACAGAATTGTTCTGGCATGAGATGAAAGGAAACATTTGTGTCAACAGTTCCCATGAAGTTTAACTCCTGAACTAAACCAGTGTTCATTCTAGCAGCTTCTGTTCCTGTTGAGTTCAGAGGGACTTGGAGGATCTGAAGCTCTTCAGTGGTCAGGCTTATCTTATAGTCAGGTGTGCATGTCCTCATTATGCATCATGCACCTTCTCATTAGCTCTGAAACTAATTTTGCTTGACCTGATGTAATCCTGCCTTTCCTCCTGCTGCAAAGCTTTGAGTTTTTCTTAGAAGAAATCAATAAAGCACTATAAGTCTCCCTCCTATCCATTGCCATGACTCTTAAAATTAATTGCTTTATTTCCTCCCCCACATCAAATGCTAGGTATGTGCACTAGCACATATCTCTTATTTAAAAAATATTAGTACTTTTAATATATGAAATATCTCAGAAAGCCCTAGTCATAGGGGTCAGATTATGATGCTTATGGTCTCTGTCTCAGGAGCTGAGCAAGGCAGGTTCTCATAATGCCGTTATTCATGTAGTTCCTACCGCTTGCCACTGCCACAGCAAGGTGTGTTTGGGGGTTTTATTAAGTGATTTATTTGGAGGGCCAGAAAAACTGGCATAGTATTTCCCACATGTGTACACATACATCTCCCACAGCAGCCATGCATGCTTCGTACATCATAAGCATCCTTGGCACAGGGGGTCTGTAGCAGCAAAGTTGGCCAAGGCATGGATTTTCCTCCTGATACTCCTCACAAGATCCCTGAATGCAGTCAGTTTTTATGCCTGAATTGATACCATGGCTTTTTGATTAATTAAAATTAGATGAGACCATTAAAAAACTGTAAAGCTGCAGAAGAATACTCCTTCTCATGCTTGCTGCCCTGAATGCGAGGCAGAGTGCTGACCTTGCTAGAGGTCTGTCCCCATCCTGTGAGCTACTCAAATTCAGGACAGAGGTCTTTGTTTTGATGGCTTTATGTATTTATTTAATTTTGAAGGATTCAAAAGTTCACGGTGCAGGAAGAAAGGATGCCTCAATCTAGATACAGTTGGAGATTAATGAAACATTGAGCAATTTAGTCATGTCACTAGTTAGAATTCATCTGACTTCTCTAGCACCAATGCACAGTGAAAGCAATAGACACACCAACATGCTTATCTATACTGGCAAAAAAAATCCTGTCTACACCTCATCAAGTCTGTTTGTTAAGTAGCAGACTGGATCCAGGAGAGGAAAAATGGATTGTACACCAAAGATTTGTTTTCTTGGCAGATTAAAAAGCAGCTCCTCTGATTTATGTACAGCTAAAGCTGGAGATTTTTCATCAGTGTTTGGGGTTTTTTTCCTGGATTATTAAGTCTTGCAAAATCATCTTTCTTCAGGAAATGCCAGGATGAAGCATTTTCCATCAGAAAAAAATTCAAACAAATACAAAGCTGTTGATGTTAATCTGGGTCCCATTGGGTTGCTAAAACAGTATGAGCAGCCGCTTTAAAGTCTTTTGTCCTTGACCTTACAATCTGATGTCCTCTGGCTGGATTATATCTCCTCTGATGCTCCATGGTCTACTATCTAGATGAGTTCCTTTTGCATATGAGAAGAAGCATGGGAAAATTGAAGTGTGGGAGATGCAGGGCTACCCACAGGCCAGGGTGTGGTGGTGAATAAGGACAAAGACCACTTATGCTAAAACTGGGATATTGAAAAAGCTTGGCTGAATGCAGAGTAATGTTACTAGAATACTTCAATACATGATGTTTATCTTACCTAAATTTGTAGGGCTTTATTTTCTTTTAGTATCTTATCAACTGTATTTCCATCTTTTCCAGACTGCAGTAGGAGCCAAAGTACTAGACCTACAAACAGACTGGAAGGGACTTTCCTGGAGGTAAGTGAAAATGCTGGTTTGTTTTTTTTTTAGTTTTTCTGTCCACACAGTTAAAAGTGCGGGTCACCTGGTTGTGTAGTTACATCTTTGTATATGTAAATTTAGAGGAAGGATGCTGACAGCTGTCAACCTGAAAATTAAGCCTTCTGATAATGTTTTCATAGTTTTAGTTACTTTCCTATGAGACTGTGGTAAACATAAGTTGTTTACATATTCCTTCTAAGAAATGTCTTTTGATGGACATTTTGCATGACCAGTGTGCTTGGGAAGGTGGTAACTTAATTATACAATCCCTGTTCATTCTCAAGAATCTATAAATACTGGAGTCAGAAAATAAAGTCACAGGTCTTTGTTCTAACGCTGAAAGTAGTAGTGTGAATCATTTTGTGTCCTTTAGCGACAGACAGCAAGTATTGCTTGTTAAGGATTGGAGGAGTCAGGACTGGAAGAGGAGTGATTCCTGTGGATGGGTTGTATATGTTTTTGTGGGCTTTTTCTTGCCTCTTTTCTTCTTTTCTTTTTCTTGTGTGTCTGTGTTAACCCAATCTAATTGCTACAAGCATGGTCCCATGTCACAGTACCTTTTAGCCTTTTCCTAGTCTCTCTGGAACTTATTCAAAGTGTTGCTGTGCTTATCTACTGCAGTGTCTAATGCTAGAAGGTCTGAGTGAGTGTGGATTGGCATGAACATGGCAAAAGCACTGCATACATACTCAGTGAAGATGTTCCAAACACCTTTGCTGTTGCAAAGTGGGCAAGCACTGCACATCAGAGAGTGTGAAGGTCAATATCCATGTTAGAGTGGAAGGAAACTGCCTGCTCCCTATGGGCAGACATACAGTTGATAAGTGTGTGCATCTATACGTTGTCCTCTTTGCTCTTTCTACAGCCCTTTGCTTGTGTCTGCAGGCATGAATATTTTCAGAAGGGGCTGCCACAAGTGGTGTAAGTTTATTGGCTCTGCACACAGACAAGTTCTGAACAGTAGAGGCAGAGGCTGTATGCAATCAGCATTGCAGAATTGCAAATAGGTAGTTTATGAATATTTAATGCAATCTCTGCCATACATAACTGTGCACAAATGTAGTTTCATCAAGGTAACGTGGAGCAACTTTAGTGAGGAAATATGCCTTTCTGTGATAGGTATCCCAGCATGTCCATATGAAAAATCAGTTCTCCCAATATGGTCTGTTCCCAGCCTGAAGGCATAGTATCTATCTATCTTAGTGCTGCCCTGATTTATTTAATGCAAGTTATATTTTCACTACTTTCCCTGAATTCCTGTGGTTTGTCTCTTTAGTCCTATTTGAAGCAAGTATTTTGGAGTGTATGTGTGTGTGTTTTTCTTCTTGGACTGCTACAACAACATATGGTGACAATAAGACAGATGGCTGCAGGATTAACCCCACTGGGTGATTTTATTCTTTCTCTTTGTAGTATTGGAGGTGATGCGATCCTGGAGATCCAGGCTACTTTACCCAGTGAGTATCCTAGAAAAGCAAAAGTTGGGTTTTACACTGAAAGTCGTTTAAGTGGATGCTAGGAAGCATCTGGAAATGCTCATTCTTTCCTTGAAAATGGTGGGGATGTCTATCTTTTGTGGGTATAAGTAGTTCATGTGAGTGAGAACTGAAATCCAGACTGACCTGGTTAGCTGTAAAATTAATTCAGCCCCTCCACATCACAGGACCTGCATGTGATTGTATCATCCTTTAGACGAAAAAGAATTAGGAGTAAATGTGCTGAAGGTGACAGGAGTTCATGGCAGACCTGCTCCTCCCTTATTTTGTTTTTTGCTTTCGAGTGGCTAACTGTACTGCCTGTGGACGAATGAAGGGTTATGAAACAAGTAGCACTCAGTCTAACCAGGATTGTTGACAAAGCTATGGTTCTTCCTGATAATGTCAAATTGCTACATAGCAGTAGAAAAAAAAAATCTAGAAGTACTATATATTTTTGCCCTAGTGTTCTGTGCAATTGGGCCTGTAGTTGTCATAGAAACCATTAAGTGGTCAACATGACAATGAATTGGAAGGCACTTGGTTTACAATGGCTGCTCTATTTGTATGTGATCTATGCTGTGGAGCAGTTTGACAGTACCTGACATTGTTAGTAATAAAATCTGATGTGTTTTGCCTTGTACCAGGCATATCACTGTGTTTGAAGAAAAATAGAAGGCGCAATTCATTTATGCATTATAAATGAGATTCTATAAAGAGGTTTCAGACAGCACTACAGACATAGTAACAATAACTGTTACAGTTTACAGACATCATGCTTCCCCACTGTAAGTTTCAGTGAAATCTAGAAAAATGAAAAAAATATACTTCTCTGCCATAAGTATTATTATCTAGCTGGAGGAGTGAGAAGTAGAGGGCCATATTCAGGGAACACTTAAATTCAAGACTGGTGGATTCCCAAGATCCACCTATGCATCACCTGGGCCACTCCTCAGGCCCTTGGAGAGAAATCATTGCAGTGATGAAATTTGGACAGTAACTAGAGTCTTCAAAGTAGGTGTGTCTCTTGCTACTGTAAAGTCGTAGCGGAAAACACAGGTCCGTATTCTCACCACTCAATTGGCTCCTGCTTCTGCAGGGGGGCAATGCTGCTGGCTGTAATGTTGTAAATGGTTAAACACTGTGGCTTTTCTTTTTAAGACATCTTGAAGAAATTCAATCCAAACCTCTTTGGCTTCTCCACTGGCAGTTCTAAGGAAACAGCTGGATTCAACGTTGCAGAGAGAAATGCCACAGCACGGTAAGGACAATCCCAAACAAGAAAGGCGAAGGAGTGACAGTAACCTACTTTTGTGATGCATGTCAGGGTTGAGGTAATGCTGATGACCTGCTGGTACTCAGCATGCTTCTGTGATCTGATGTTTTAAATTGTGAATTTCGGGGTTTCATTTTTTTAAATTCAATTCAGTGTTTGGGGGATCTATTTGTTATCTTTTTCTAAATTAGACACAAGCTTCCTTTCTTTATTTGATTGTTGTCCATAATTTTTGAGCCAATGCCTTAGTTATGCATCTAATTCAACCAGTACCTTTTGCTGCCCAGTCTTAATTGTACAGGTCCCTAATTCACTGTCAAGTACTATCTGTAATGAGGAAAACATTCATGAGCATATCTTTTATTCTTTGATTTCTAGAGAATGTCCCTGAAACTAACAAATAGAAGCCCACTGCTACCCTAATGGCATTAAAAATTATCCCTGTTTGCAGTGCAAAATTAAATAAAAAAAAAAAAAAGCATCTGGGAAATAACTCCTTTCTCTTCCTGAAGAAAAACTACTGGTCTATTAACAACCAAAACATGTAAGAATCTGTATGGCTTACACTGTGCCTGCTCCATATTAAAAACGAGATTCACTTAATAAATTATAAAAAGTTTAATATAAAGAAAGACAATTAGGAGACAAAAGAAATAAAGCAAAGGGTTAAAATGGCTGGGTGCCCTGACGGGTTGCCAGGAACACACCTGGTAGCTCGGGAACACTCTTTTTATCCCCTCCTGCTGTGAGGATTTTATGCATATTCAAAACATGTCCCCTCCCTAGTTCCGCCTTCTTAGAATATGCTTTTGCACAGTCTTTATTTTCTGCTGGTCAGCACTATTTTTGCTGGTCATCATTATCCTTGCTGGTCATCATTATTTTTGCTGACCACCATTATTTTGAGTCTGGTTTCCTTTCTTCTGCAAATGGTAAGTATTGATAACAGTCCGGGCCCCTTATCCTTCCTTTGAGGGCAGCTGGGCTTCATATCTTCTGCTGATAACAGTTTGGGCTCTATTGTTCTCCTGATAACAGCTTGTGCCCCACTGTCCTTGCCCTCTGGGGTTTCCTTGCCCTGTACCTAGGAAATTCTTTTAAGCTTAAGACTTGTTAGCAAGAAAAAAGTACATACATAGCTAAAAAGTGTTTAACATATAATATTCATCTGCGAAAGCCAATATCACAATACAAATTTATAATATCCATGAATACTCACAGAATTTGTTTCCAAAGCTTTTTGTAACACCTTTAACAACCATTAAATCTGCTTCAAGAAAGATTTAGGATAACTATCAAAGCCTGTATAGCTACTAAATATTTAATAGATTCCCTGAGCAAAGCTGACTCAGCATGATCAATATGGTTCTAGGAATCCAAATAATGTAACTGCATTTGTATAGCTGCTGGAGAGAGGCAGGGCTTATTAGCTCAAGCTAATTAGCTCAAGTCTTTTTCTAGTGTAGCAGGAGATCATTTTCAGCTGGTGTCTCAGCATGGCTTGTGCTTTGACCCATGGATGTTGCATCCTGTCCAGAGCTGGACCTGGGCTCTCAAGCCTGGCAGTCCCACAATGTAAGCACTCTCTTCCAGCCATAAGACAAGCCATAGGAATTTAAGGCAGATCAGGAAGGCTGGTTAGGTGCCCAGCTTCTGTGTCAGCACCAAACTCCCCCACTAGATTTTTGAAGCGAGTTATGCAACTCAATGTCTCTATGCATCTGGGCATTAGTGGTTTTTTTTCCCAAACAAAACACACTGAGGCCAACTCTGAGATGGGAAGAGCTCCTACCAGTTGCCTGCCGCTTGGCAGCCATTCCAGCTGAAGCCTTTTCAGATCAGATTATTCACTTGTGCAACTTGGTCCTTCAGTGTTTGCTCAGCCTTTTGAGGCATCACTTTCCTTATAATGATTTCTGCTGATCCTGAGATCCCCCTGCAATGAGGAGTGGGAGTCAAGAAGGTGATGTTCTTTTAGAGCACACATCTAAAACCTTCTGTTCTCTCTCCTAGTGACATGCCAGCCCAAGCACGTGCTTTGGTGGAGCTGATGAGAAGCAGCTCGGTAAGTGGGATTTGGGCCACACCTCAGTGTTGCTGTGGTCTCCAGGAGATAACTGTAATTAATGGGATGTTTGAGTCATGAAGAGTGCTCTACTGGTGAAAGAAAAGTCCTTGTCTCTACTGTGCTTTCCAAGATGAATGTCCAAGATTAATTACCCCTAATGTAGGGTGCAGTGCAGCCAGGAGATGTAAGGATGGTAAGTGAGGAACAGGAAAAATCTGAAGGCTCTGGTGAGATCACAGAATTGCTTTGTTAGCAGCAACCTTCAAAGTGAAGGTCATAAAGGCTGACTGTAAAATTGCTGAAGCAGGTACATGCAGACCAACATGAGTCACAATATCCACTATACTGGGGACTACTGAAGTCTTTGCGGGAGAAAAAGCCTTCTCAAAGTCTGGTTTTGAGCAGGCAAAAAATTAATCAGTGACCAGAAACCTCAGGAATGGATGAATCTCTGCCACACCATAATCTTTTAGAGAATTAGTAGGGGATCTAGCATTGTGGACGAGTCTGTTGTGCCAGCTCCACTGAGGGCTATGAAGGACATCAAAAGCAGGGAGGAGAAGAAATCTCCAAGGCTGCCCTGCTCTGGGTGTTAGCTGAATTTGAGTGGATGACAGTCTGGGTGTGAGCTATTGGTTCAGGGAGAGCATTCCCTCTAAGGGAATGGGAGTGCCTGGTGCTCCTTGGCTCAGACTGAATGGGAAAGGAAAGCACTGAATAAGCAGGATTTGTCAAAGCATGTGGCTTTCCATGCCAGAGCTCATGAGAGATGGTGCATGCTCACCCCACTGTCAGTTACTCAGCATTGCCAATTGTTTGGAAGTGAAGGGAGCTGGTATGGCTTTTCAATAGAATAGAAGAGGAGAGGCTGTCATGTTTGTTTTATTCACAGCTTTTTATGCATTTTTTTTTTAAAGGGAGAGGGGTGTGTCCTGGCCATAACATTGCCTCTTCATGAAAGTCTTTCTGAGCAAATTGCTGGTTAAAGAGGAGAATTCAGACATGTGGGTGATTCCCAGGCCCTCCTTCTATTTCTGGGATCCTTTCGCAGATGTTTGTTATGTAAATGCACTACACTAAAAATAGCTGCCTTTGATTCCTTTCTTTGTACTGAATGTTACAAAATGTTTTGATGAGATCCAGCTCTCAGCAGTGTCTATTGTTAGCTTGTGGTGACGTGGATGCTGCAGCTGCCCTTATATGAGCTCAGTGAAGTCACCAGCCTCCTGGACTCTTCTATTTTAATTCAGCTGTCTGTTCCCTGGGGCACCCCTTGCCCCTCCTGGCCATGGGGTAATTCTTACCCAGCTGGCAGGGATCCCCAGCAGCTCCAGTTCCACAGCTACATGAGTCACTCCAGCCTCTGCTCCCACATGGCTTTATCCCCACGCTGCCTGCAGTGTGCAGCCATGGCTGGCATATATCTCCTGTCCATCCCTGTTTTGAAGCTGACATTCATTTAGGGATGCTTGCTGCCACAGACACATTTCCATGCTTGGTTACCCTGAGAGAGCTTGTCTGCTGAAGGGAATTTCCTTACAGAAGGCAAGGTGAATTGCAGTAGACTAGCAAACAGTTCAGATTTTCCCCCTGGAGAGATGCTTTTCTTTCGCCAGTTTAACTCAGCATATCTCCTTTGTTCTGCCCTACTCTCTGTGCCCCATTTAGCACCTTTTGTGAATGTTTCCTCTGCATGCCTAAGCAATGGATGCTGCAATCTGTTTATTTTATGTACCACTAGAAAATTAACTTCAAGGAAGACTGGAAGCTGATTACCATTCTTGTTGGAGGCAGCGACCTATGCCAGTACTGCTTGGACAAGGTTTGTATCTCTGAATTAGGCATGCTCATCCAGGCATTTGGCATTCCAGGCATAACCAGCCCTGGAAACATAGCCTTTCTCTCTCTCAGGGAGCCAAAATTCTTCTTTGTTTAAAAAGCACTTAGAAGTCCTGCCCCTTTCATCTGTATTGTATCAGAAACAAGTGCACAGCTTTTAATACAGGGGCTCAGCAGCTCTGGTGAAGTGCATTATTTAAGTACTAGGAGTCTGCTCATACTGAACAAAACACAAAGATTAAGCTGAAGAGCTCTTTCTGCTTAACTGGACGATGTAATCAATGTAACACAGTGTGGTGTCTCAGGCATGTTAGGGGACACAAGTAGTCTTCTGGAAAACATCTCCACACAACAATTACTTATGACATCCAATTCTTGCTTCAGAATGACACCTGAAATAATATCATCTGTTTATAGTGAAAAACATTTCTTTTCTTTAGCTGTCAGTGGTCATCCCCTCTGAAACTCTTCATGTGTCACAGACTGGGGGGTCTATCCCCCTGCTTGTTGACATGACCAGGCACTGTTCTCTGTTTTGCTCTTCAGTCTGCTGCCTGGAGCCTTTGTCTCCACAGCTACACCTCTATAACTACAGTCAGAAAGTTGTTTTGCTTATGGGCTTTGTGGGGTCTGACTACTTTCATATTGGTTTCTCCAGATGGGCACTTTGAAAAAAAAGATACTGTTCATAAGGCAAACCAGTCTGATCTGGGTCCCATAAAAGACAACCCAAAATCCAAAAATATGATTAACATAGTCATTATCAGGGAAAGGCTCTGCCAAGATACCTCAGGATTTTCTACAGAGATTAGAGGAAGGTATTAATGGCATAAAAACACAAGCACTATATAACCTCTGTACATGCACCAGTAAACTTCTTGATCTAGAAATATACCTGCTAACAAAGGAAAAAAGGAGCATTTTCTCACAGATCACCTTGTTGGTTCCTGAAAAAGGCTGACTCAATTTTTATTTTTTTTTTTAACAGGAAACCTATTCTGTGCAAAAGTATGTAAAGCACCTTCAGGACACTCTGGATATTTTCTATAAGGAGGTAAGTTTTTAAGGTACCCTGGCAAGCTATGTTCCTGGCAAGTACACTGATGTTTTTCTCACCTCTGATAGACTGTCAGTGATTATGTTTCATACAAGGTCATCTTTCAAATAGCTGGACTCAGACTGTTCTTCAGTGCTGCATTTTAATGACTGTACTGGCTAATACCCTGAGAATGAGGGCTGCAGCTTCAGAGAAAATGTGTGTTGGACAATATTTATATTGTGGACCAAACATACCATGACTGTACAGCCAGTTTTCATGGCTAAATCAACCAGGAACAGTTTAATTTACCCTAGAGCAAATGGAAATGTCCCAGGGAGTGAAGCAGTATTTTGGCTAGTTTGTATTAGCTGTTGGAATTTTTTTGGCTGACATCCACTGTATGTCTCCCTCTACCTCCTTTAATGCATCATCCTTTCACATGCCATTGGCTGCAGCCAGTGCAGTTTGCACTGACTTCCTGACCTGCAGATGGCTCTTCTTTCTCTTTGTAGTGATATCATGTTCTGTTATTTGTAACACGTCTTTATGTCTGGTTATTATAATTTTCACAGCTCCCAAGAGTCTTTATCAACATGGTGGAGATGCTAGAGTTCTCTGGACTGCGTCAAATCACAGCAAGCTCTTCAGAGTGTGCTTTGACAGCAAAGTAAGTGAGCAAAACAGTTCTTTGTCTATAAAGTGATATTTTTTGGGCTCAGTCTCAATTCCTAAAGGAGGACATCTACACTGAGCTTTCCAAGCTACTTGCAGTGCTGCCTTTAACTGATGCACTAGTTCCCACCAATTTTCTATTACTTCTTACAACACTTCTGCTAAAAAGCATACACCTGTAGACAGCAGAGTTCTCACTTCTCAGCTGTAAGGCAGCATAACACAGCACAAGTCAACATACGATTTCTGTACTGCTGAACTTCAAAGGCTTTCTTTGCCCAGCCATCTGCTGGTCAGCAGCATAGGCTGACATCCCTGCTTCCTCTCTTTGTATCCAGTGCTGCATTACCTCTGGTGCAGGCTGTGCTGCATACAGTAGAGCACAACCAGGAGCTGCTCCTAACACCTAATGAAGGAGACCAAAATCTTAACTGAAAGAAGGTTGAGAGACTTGTTTTAGAAGGCAGCAGTCTTTAAAGGCACCAGAATGGATGAAAAGGTCTTTGGTCTTACAGAGAAAGCTGTAACAAAGACCAGTAGTTGGAAGGTGATGCCAAATGAATTGACATTAAGTTAGGCACAGATTTTTAAAAATACAAGTGATTAACTACATGAGCACACTGGAAGGGAAAATAATGAATTGATAATCTTGCTCAATATCTTTATATTCATTCCTGGCACATTCTTAGAAGATGAATTTCAGTGAAGCAAAAGTTACTACCTCTTGTTAAGAAGGTAACATAATAAAATAGAGTGGTGCAAGGACTCAAACCACATGAAAAATTTGTCTTTTCTAACTTTAAACACCCAGATGTCTGAAACTCTGCTGTAAGCCCATTTGTGGATTGGGTTTTCTTGTTATTCCAACACATGTGATTTCCTGCTAATATGTGGCATATTAAACACTTTTTTGTGTTTGACTCAAGAGTTGTGGATCCTGCAGCTCTCTCTGCCTATGGTAGGTGTTCATTTTGAAAAGAAAGTCAGTAGGGATTTTTATTTTCTGAAGTACCTGTCCATTCCTAGGCCACCAAGGTGGCTCTCCCTTCTGCATGTGAGCTTTGAGCACCTATCCTAAGCTTCTTGAAGCAGATGCACAGGGCTGAAGAACTGTGAAGAGACTATTCTAAACTGGCTTTTAATTCTAGTATTTCTTTCACTGAAGGAAAGTTTGCCCATGTTTCTTAAACCCAGAGGAAAATTCTTCTGAATTACAAGAAATTAAGAGAGTTAACAGAGATTTTCAGGTAATGCATTGATTCTGTAACTGGTCATCTTTACTCTTCTCTCTTTATATTGCTTCCCTCACTGCTCTTCCTGTCATGCATATCCTTGGCAGTACATAGAGAGATAACTGGAAAACAACTTGGCTACAGCCTAATCAAAACCCTACTCAGCTAACCAGTTAGTAGCAGTGCAAGATTTTCCACATTGCTTTAAGATTTGACCTCAGCTCTGAGCTGGATGCAGATGAAAACCAGTTCTGTTTCCAGCTGCTGTTTTAACAATCCAAAATGATTTAGTAATGATGGCTTTATTGATATGTGTTTGTCTGTTATGAGCCCAGTGAGTAGCTCACATGAATTAATATGTCACTGCATGAGTGACAAATGACCTTGCATCAGCTGTTTTGTGGTTACTCTTAGCAGAAGAAATTAACTAAACCAACCATGGACCAGCTTGCTATCTGAGAGCAACTTTTCATAGCCTCAGGCTCAAGATTCAATCAAAATTAACAGGGCCTATAAATAGCTATTGAAGCAGAAGCTTTTTCCATCAATGCTCTTATGAATACAGGAATCACTGTATCAGCTCACATTATGTTCTCCATTCTGGCTCTGGCAATGGCTGTTGTCCAGTGAATTTGACAAAGGTCAAGAAATTCACCCTGGGTAATGCTTGTATAAGCCTGCTAGAGGGATCATTTTCCTTAATTAAGGAAGAGGGATTAGGAATGTTTTGAGATATGAACCAGGAGCAATAGCATTTATACCCATAAGATGGCAAGTTACAAGGAGATGGGGTTTTTTATTTGTATGAATGTCTGTGACCATAATGTTTGAAAGTGGCAGGTAATTTTTCAGTGTTTAAGTATTATTTTAATTCAAGCTCACCTTTCTGAAAAATCAAGTGTGCTTCAGCCTCAAGCTGGAATTTTGGACTCAATTGTCACTTCTAAACTTGCCTTGTTCCTTTTTTTATATTTTTTTCACAATTTTCTGCAAGTTTTAATCTCACTGCAATTGTGCAGCTTTGGTTTCTATAAGGTTTGAACTGCTTTTTTTTCTGGTTTTTATTTTTTCAAATTAAGCAACTTTTTAAAAATAATCCAGCTTCTGTGCATTTTCTTCATGAAAAGCTGTTCATGAACCCTTGAACATTTGTTCATGAACAAATTATTGTCTTAGCCATTTTCTTTACTGCTTTATAACATTTAGCTGGATTTACACTAATGATTTACAGCTTCCTTCACTGAAAGATGTGTAATCTGCATGCTTCTGATAGCTGACAAACGTTAGATGAGCCTTGCTAGTAACCCTTCTGTTTTCACTAATTACACTGCATGCAGGCTGAAGCCTTGCATCTGATCAGCAGCAGTCAGTATGAACAACGGGAGGACTTTGCTGTTGTCATCCAGCCATTTTTCCGGACCACCTTGATGCCCGTGGATAGTGTGAGTCCTGTTTTGCTTTCCCATTATGAAAGGGCCGTCTTGATTTCTCTTAAGCCAATAAGTTCCATGCCACAAGGACTGTGTTTTCTTCTCTTTGCACAGTCTAGTGGCACAGTGTGGAATCTGTGGTGAGAGAGGAGAGAGGAGAGAGGACAGGAAGTCTCACAAGAATGGAAGAAGATTCACAGTTCTTCCTGTGAATCAAAATGGCTTTAGAAAACATTCGTAGTGTGCACCATAAACTAGGCACCCTCTGACTTCCTCTATACTGCATGTTGCTTCCCTTGTTGAGGAGGCTGGTTAGCATTCACCACAGTTTCCCAATTTAGGTTTAGATTTCTTCAAATGGAGACCAGCACTTGAATCTCTGACTCATCCAAGCATAGAAAGAGGAAGCAGCCTTTGTAACTAAACACTGATTTTTTTCTCCAGCCTTAGCATTATATATGCTCTGTAGTTAAGGATACAAATATCCAGCATGAATCCTTGTCAAAAAAAACCCAGTTTTGCATAGTATGGAGCCCTTTTTCATACCATCCCCTTTTATATTTCTGTCAGCTTACAAGGTTGACCAATGGTCACCATGCAGGTAGTGATGAGGCAAATTCCCCCCAAGAGAGACATTTGCCACAGCTGGATAAGCCCACCTTTTTTTTTTATCTGAAATTCATCAGAAATTTCATCACTTGAAAGGTTGTAAGTCTGAGTCACATAAGTTTAAAAAGTAATAATAAGCACTTTCCTATGAGTTCTGTACAAAATGGAATGTTGAGTCCATGGCAGGGTCCATGTAACACCTTTGACTGTTGGTTTAATGATAAGTTTATTTTTGTTATGAAAATTTCTGTGTAAAATTGAGCAGGCTGCATTACACAGGAAGTCTCAAAGTGCGGTAATCAGTTCATAGTTAGGGGCACCTAAGTTTGTTTCCAGTATGAAAACATGAGCATATTGCCTTTAGGAAGATACCAAAATTGTGAAGTACAAGTACAGTACACTATTAGATATAATATGTCAGATGTCAAAGATTGAAATTTGCTGAGAAATAAATTTTTGCTTTTATTACAGACCGGCAAGCCAGATATGAGTTTTTTTTCTGCAGACTGCTTTCATTTCAGTGTAAGAGGCTATGCTGAGATGGCAATGGCTCTCTGGAATAATATGGTAAGGGGTTACAACTTAGATCCCTATGTGTTTGTGGTAGTAGTATCTACAAAAGATCATGAGAAAGATATCTGAAACAAAAGAGTAAGCAAGACATAAAACTGATATCCTAACAAGGTTGCGTAGCTCTGAGGTTCTTCTCACTCTCCACTGCTTAGGAATGTAATCCAAAGGGATCATATTGCATGAAACAGTGCAAGTTTTTGCTCATTCAAAATGAGAAGTCCCAAGAGTCTTAATGTAATGAAAACTTCCTTTCTGATTTGGTAAATAACTTGCATTAAAACAAAAAGTCAGCCTAGTTAAACATTCAGTTCTGTAGGTTTGCTGAAAATGTCTGTTCAATGAGCTTGCCCTTCTTCAGTGAATTCTGTTATATTTATTAGGAAAACATATATGTGACTGAATTTTTGCTGCCATTAGTAGTGTGGACATGTTGTACCACCCACTCCTGTATTTGAGGCAGTTTTAGTAGAGTCACTAAAACTCATGGGGGGCTGAAATCAAAGTTATGATGCTTGTAATCACATTCCATCTGTCATTTTGGGGGAAATGATAGCTTCTGAATAGTGTTGGAAGAAGGCGTCAGAGGCACATGCTAGACTTGATAACTCCCAAGGTCACAGTTGCTTTCAGAAATGTTTCTCCACATTGGAAGGAAGACTGGCATTTTTATGCTGCAGCAATATTTCCTCCCCCTGTCTTGTAAACATCAGTAGCCAAATACATTATGCTAGCAGAAATCCTGCATCCTGGTCTGTACAAGAAACAAGCATAAATGGAGGGGAATTTCTTTTCTGTATAAGTAAAAGTTCGAGCAAGATAAGAAACTTACAGGATACCCCAGGATGAGCTTGAAAATAAGGACTGGAAAATGCAGAGCAGGAATATGTGTGGCTGCCCAGTATAGCATATGAGCTGTAGGTCCAGGATTATAGAATGTACAATGCAAGCACATGCTCGGAGTAATTGATTTGTGCATACACAGCAAATCTGCCTGTTTTCCATCAGGCTTCCCTGTCTGGGACTCCAGATGACAGCAGGCTGGTAGGCTCTGATTCATAGCTTAAACAGGGCTAATGGTGGGCCAGAAACCCCAGGCAAATGTAGAAAAATTCAAATAGAGCAGGGCTAAGGCTTTCAAGAAAAAAAAGAGACAGTACCTGGGCATACAGTGGTCTTATATTGGGTTGCCATATGGTATTGGCCATTACTCATTCCTGAATCACCTTCAGTCTTTTTTCCTATGCCACCAGAGGATTTTTTTCTGTCCAGACTGTCACTCATTTCCTACACATATAAGGATATTGAAACAAAGCTTTCTACTGGGGTGGCAGGAATCAGGTTCTTACTGAAGCAAAGCACAGCTATTCCCTCGCATAGAGATCTGTTGGTTTATGCTAACTGCAGATATTACTGTTTACTATTTAAATCTAGTTCTTGTAACACATCCCTGCTTTTCCCTTGCAGTCCTTGTACGGTAAGACTGTGCAAGCTTACTGTAAGGCTGTATTGTTTCCCTGTTCCCTGAAAAGCTTGGCAGGCTGCAGGCTTATGGCCAAATGACATGGATTCTTGTCAGTGCACATAAAGGGCCAGACTGTGCCTGGCCACTGTGTGGTTATGCAGGGATTGGGATGACTTACAGAGTCTCTCCCTCATCATAATGTTCTTCGCCCTTTTGGCTTTGTGCAAAACAAAGTGTGCTTCTGCTCTCTGAAGTCAGAAGACTCTGTAGTCTTAAGTGGGTCCCAAAGCCACCTTGTCAAGTCTTTGGCCGAGGTGAAGAGACACATGGACAGTGTTTGGTTTGTGTTCTTCCTCCATGCTTGCCACATGCTCTTAGAGGAGCTGTGGGTTTCTTCCAGGACTTGTCCTCTGTGTTCATGGACTTGAGGATACTGTCATCTTCAAAGCTCAGAAGCTAATGCTCCTGAGGAACAGATTGCATTGAGATGAAGTAAGCATGGGTGGTTACAAAATTTTGCATTTTATCATCTTTTGTCTGTGCCATTTTTTTTCTGGCTCTGTGCCAGAATCCTTACCAAGTGCCCTGGTGTGAGAAGAATTACAATTATTTACAAATAACCAGTTGCACCGCAGGCAGAATGCTGTGAGATATGAGCCACACATCATACAAATAGCAGAGCTGTTCCTTTTAAGGTGCAATAAAACTACCAAATTCAGTCTTCACTGCATTATCTGGTGGGTGGGCCAAGTGGTTAAGAGTCATAAAAGAGTCCATCAGGATCCTACAATAATCAGCAAAATTTGGCATCCTTTTTTTGCTTCTCATCTTCACTTGTTAGCTTTCTTCTCTTCCCTAGTTATATTTTCTGTGGTTCATATATTTTTATTTTTCAGTCTCTGCTAGCTTCTTTCTGTTTTTTTAAATTTATTAAAAATGAACTAGAGAGAGAAAGTAGTCTCAGTGTTTCTGTATCAGAATCTTACAGATAAAATTTGTTTTATCCACGTTGTGTTGGTCTTGTTGCTGTATTGTTTCACTTCAGCACGCAGCTGAGACTTTAATCCCTTGAGGACAGTAAATGCCTGTATGAACAATAGCAGAAGCAAACCCATCCTCTGTGCTGTATTCTCAGAAGTGCTGGATGACAACTTTGCGGTTCTCTATGGACCAATCTTGAAGCCATTACTTCAGGCATGTCCATACAACAGTTGTAAACACTTCAGTTAACATGACTAAGCAAGCCTCTGCTCGTTAGCTTAACTATGGCAACCAGTGGTATGTGCACTCCTAGCCAAGCACAACTGCCTGCTGTTAGCCTGGGCATATTTTATGTTGGGTTGGAAAGGGTGAGCCAATGGTCAGCTACTGCAACTTAGCTGACAACTGATAATATAAAAGGCTCTGTTTATCTTGCTTCTTGCAAGATTGTGAACCCAGCCTCAGCTAAAATTCCCAGGGAATTTCTTGTCTGAGTGAAGACTGCAAAGGCTGTCATTGTCACATCCTCTCTCTGTAACTCTGTCATTTCTGAAGTAACTCCCATCACTATGATACCCAGGAATCTTTCTTTAAGTAATGTGCTAAGTAATATGTCTAACATCTGTCATGTGGGTTTTTCCTTTGTAGTTTTACACTGCCATTTGAGACGAGTGCATGGCAGAACTGGGTGTAATAGAGAATCACTTTAGCTTTAGCTGAACGTTTAAAATACATTGTATTCAGAGCAATGGAAAATGAAGAAACACCCTATTCCTTGCTTCTGAGCCAGTACATCAGATTCTCAACATCTTCAGTTCACAAGTGTTAAAATGTTTGCAAACCTTCCTCTGCTTCTTCTACCACACTTCTTTGTTACTGCAAGCAGCAAAAGATTAGATAAGTTGTAACTATCTGAATCAAGAAGGTCTGAGAAGAAAAATATTCATCACGTTTATCATTGCTTTTCTCTTCTTCAGCTGGAGCCAGTTGGTGAAAAGCAGACTTACAACAACTTTACCCATGACAGATCAAAACTCAGGTGTCCAAACCCTGTAAGTAAAGGTCAAGGTGCTCTCTCCATTAATTACGTCTATTTTTTCTCCTTTCTTCACACCGGTAGAGCTCTTTAAAAGACTATCTTTGTGAAGGTTTCAAATAGCTAAAATATACTCCCTTTTTATTACAGACAGGGAAATCTACTTAAGATTTAAGACAAAAGGTTTTATCTTCACTGCAGTGGAAAGCCTTTCCCTAAAGCTAGTTCTAGTGAGTCTATATATTTCCATTTGCTTGTTTGCAGCAAGCTAATTAGGAAGTGATGCCACCACTCCTGATTCTGAGGTGGTTTGTTTTTTGCATTCTTGGAATTTTCAGGCAATAGAGCAGGAGAGTGTTTGGGCTAAGATAGAGAGAAGTCAAAACAAGCTGATTGTCTAAAAAATCTACAATTCCTCTCTGAGAAGGGGCAGTGGCATAATGTTGGGATACTGCCTGTTGAGTGGTTTGTGGTCAATAAAGCCTTTGCTCTCCCCTTGTAGGAGAAACCTTTTCTTTCCACACGAAGAAATAGTGGATTTGGAAATTCGGATCTCAACTTGGGGAAAACAGAATCTTCAGTCCCCTATTGGGCTGTACTTGTGACTGCAGTAGCTGGGGTTCTGGTGGGCTCTTTACTTGGCTGGGCTGTGTCACGAAGAAGAACCAAGAAGTACCAACATAAGGCTGACACAGAAAACAACATTAAGACAACCCCTCTGTAACACAAGTGGAACAACATCTTTCTCTGATGAGACTGCTCTCTGTGTGACACAGTAGCAGAATAAAAAACCTGTTGGATATGAATGAAGCTTCTTGGTTGCCCAGGGATTTTTGGGCCAAATAACATTGATCAGTAATGTATTTTAGAACTATCCTCTGCTGACCATTCAGGTGAAGTTCAAAGTATTCTGTGGTTTCACACCAGCTGGCAGCTAAGTACAACACACCTGCTCACTCATTCCCCCTCAGTGGGATGAGGAGAACTGGAAAAAGGTAAAACCCATGGATCAAGATAGGAACAGTTTTAATAACTGAAATAAAGTGTAATAATAATAATTCTAATGAAATGGGAAGTAACAAAAAGAAGAGAGGAATAAAACTCAAGAAAAACAAGTGTTGCACACTACAATTGCTCATTGTCTTCTGACTGATGCCCTGCATGTCCTTGAGCAGCAATCAGCCCCTCCTGGACTTCTTTCCCCAGTCTATATAGTAAGCATGATGTTCTATGGCATGGAATATCCCTTTGGCCAGCTTAGGTCAGCTACCCTGGCCACGTTCATTCCCAGCTTCTTTTTCTGGCAGGGCATGGGAAACTGGAAAGTCCTTGGTTTAGAGTAAGCACACTTAGCAACAACTAAAATATTGGTTTGTTATCAATATTATTCTCATACTAAATCCTAAAGACAACACTGAACCAGCTATTATGAAAAATATTAACTCTATCCCAGCTGAAACCAGGACAAAGTGTTAAAAGCTTTTTCATTCTAAAAATTCCAATTTTTCCAAGGGTCCAATTCTCTGTTTCATGAATATTACTCAGAATCTCTATTGCACAAAGCAAGAACACTCATTCATGCAGCTTGAGTTCTTAATTGTGCATCTGTCCTTTTCTTATAAACCTCTATCTAAAATGTTAGAGACAAGTCTGTGATTGCAACCTGGTGCTCCCCAATAGTAAGGTGTGAGTGAGATCAACAGCAGCTTTGATTTCACATGTTATATTCCAGCAAGACCATTGCATTGCAGGTGCTAAGGTGATTTTACATGGGCAAGTACAATGCCATGGAAACATCTTTAAGCTGGTTTCTGAACAAACCACATGGTTTGTTTGGATCCACATGGTATCCCTGGTGCAGTGCTGGGCAGCACAGATAGAATAACGCCGCATTGCCTTGGACTCCAGGCTCCTTCCATCTGGGATTGGGTGTGGAGCTAGGCTGTATCTGTCACTTCTCCTCCAGGGCTAAATAGCCCAGGGACAGTCCTGTATTCTGTCCTCCCCTGTACTGGTTCCAGAGTGAGTCTTCTTGTGATGAGTTTCTTCACTAGCATCTAGTAAGGGGGTCTAAACAAAAATGCAGTACCTGCAAGCTAGCTTGGCTTAACCTTTCCCATAGGATTTGTGTTGTGTTCAGGTCTCCCAAGCTGGAGACTCCCCAGCTATTATCCATAGAAGAGCTTGCAAAGTTGTTTTTCACATTTTGTTTTGTTTTTAAAATTCTGATCAGGAGTTCAGAGATCATCCTTTTTGGAAACTAGACTTTCTTTGTTTTAAACCTTCAGGCCAATTCATATTATCTATTCGTATAAAAGATTCTTCACAAGATCTGCATGATCTTGTTTCCCAATATCTTTCTTATTCCCTATGTTAAATACTTTACCGTTTAATTTCATTGAAGCCAAAGTGAGGTTTGCACTGATACTGTGTGATGTGTACTACATTTCCACTCCAGAAATGCAAATGAGTAGAAAATGATAATGTTTCCCAGAATAAAGTGTTCTGGTTTCCTAAATTTATTATTATGCATGCAGAAGGTATTCAGACTCCTCATTTTTCCATTTCACTTCTGTCAGTGTCCTTGCTAAGGTAAAAAGAGGTGGGCAGAGTACAACTTACATAGTCAGGTTTCAGGGGCTGTAAGTGCATTCACCTTTTCTTTGATCTGCTCTCAAAGGTAGGGCTATTAACAGTAGTACTTTTATTTACCTGCATCTTATCCACAGATGTGTGTCTGTGAGCTCTACATGCAGCACAAGCTGGGGATATATTTAGAATGCAGTTACATCTTGTTCCAGTGCAGCAAAGGCTTTTCTTCCTGTCCCTGTCTTCACTGTGGGTCATTAAGTATCAACCTGATATTTATTTAGCTTGGGAAATGGAAGCAAACATATCCTCCAACCAAGAGACAAGACTTCAGTGAATTCCATAGCACCTACACTTCAGACACATTAGGAAAAGTACAAGCCTCATATGTGAGGAAGCTGAGCCAATATCCAAAGGCTGCCATCTCCTCTCACCCCTTAACGTTGTTCTTGTGAGTTGTCTTCCCTACTGGGAACTTTGATAGCCACTGCTCATACACATTTTGGTTTGGGAAGAAGTAAAAAGATAATAGTTCTCTACAGAACCTTTCATCAGTACTAGGCATTTCAAAGGAAACTCAAGAACAGTAGTTCAGTACTGATTTACCTTTCCAAATCATATGTGTGTGCAGGAAGTGGGGTGGAAGTCATGGCGCATGAGTTAGAGTTTAAAATTGTTGCAGTCTCTCACATCAGGTTTTTCCTGCCTAGAGATGGGTGCAATTGCTTCTTGGGTTTCATGTTTGTGCCCCCTGCTAGGATAACTAAACATCCCCTTTTCTCACTAAGGAAGATAAATTTTATTCTGAGCTTCTAAAACCTAAATTATAAGAAGTGCAGCCAGTTGAGAAGTGAAAAGAAAGATGGCTGTTAGCTCATTCACTATCCTGAAGGATACCATTTTACCCAAGGATTTTGCTTTGCCCAGTGATGGTCTTGCCCACTGCTGGAATCTGAAATAAAAGCTTCTCTGAGTCCCTCAGAGAGAGAAAATAATTAAAATACATTAAACCACATAGATATGAAGTAAGAGTGTAGGTTTTCAGTAAATAAAAATATAGCTTAAGTGCTTTAAGAGACTGTGCTAGCTAGTTAAAAGCCCTAGTTTAAAGTTCAGTGATACTACCTTTTACAGATTTAACTTAGTTACAGACATAATGAAAGCATAGTAAGAACATAGCTTACTGTCCTGGTTTAGGGCAAATTTGGGAGAAAACCTCCAATGGGGGCCCCCCCCAGGAAGCAAACCCACGTGGCCCTTTTCTCCCACCCCCCAACCGGTTCGGGAAGAGATTTCTCTGAGAGAAGTGGAAAAAACCTGTTTATTTCACAGGCACAGCACTACCCAGCACAAAAATGAACGATATAAAATTACAAAACCTCTCGCCCTTCAGAAGAGATGACAAACTTCAGAGGGTCTCTTTCCTGTGGGTGTTCGCTCTGTTATCAGTCCCTCTGGCACTGGAAAATGCCGCTGCCCAGGCTGGGCTCCCGGTAGTCCACGGGTGCAAGCTCCCGGTGCTCCCCCGAGTCCCCAG